AGACACTTGTTTGGGTCACACAGACACTTGTTTGGGTCACACAGCCAGGAAGTAAGAGCTGGTTTCTAACTTTGGTCTTTGGTTGACCCCAAAGCCCATGCTCTTCCGCTCCAGGGTTGAGGTGAGGCCCAGGCTAGTGTATGATGGATTTTGGGACTAGTGGTGACCCAAGGCCCCCTTTCCCTCAATGCCCAGCCTGAGAGATACCCTAAATAGGACTAGGTAGAGGTGGCTCTGGTATTTTTCTGCCTGGGGAGTCCCGGGACCATCCCAAAAGGGGGCAGGAAACCCGGACCTCTCTGATCTGGGAACCCCAGCCCTCACTAAAGGGTAGACACAAAGTTTAGGTTTGTGGGTGCGTGGGGGAGGTTGCAGCGCTCCTCCTAGTGGCCAACAGTGGAACTGCGGGGGGCCGGATCAACGCTTTTCTGCCCCAGAGAGAAACGAGCGAGGGCCTGTGTTGCCTCCTTTTCTTCCTCTCGTTCTTTCTCCCTCTCCCTTCCTCCTTCCCTTCTTCTCATCCTTACCCGCTGGCCCGTTCACTCCCTCATTCACCTCTCCTTGGCTCAAAACCTCCCAACGCAAGTACGATTAGAGTAACGACCGAACCGCTCGTCGTGGGCTAGAACGACCCGCCATGCGTCCCGCCACCTCTCCTTCGTCCCCGGCCGCCCCAGCCCTTCTGTCCGCACCGGCAGCACCCCACGTCCACTTCTCCCTCGAGGCGGTTCCACTCGCTGTCGCCTCTCCAGGAATGCTTTCCCGCTGTTTCCCTTCTTTTCCTTCATCTCAAAGTTGCACTTTTGGGAGCTCACAGATCAAAAGGGAGTTAAAAGCCCTCCCGACTAGTCATCAAAACGCACGGATCCCATTTGCATCCCGATTCAAACTGTTAAAAATCTCAAACCACCGCCTACCACAAAACCAACCATTGATCACATTTAATGAAATGATTGGAGATTTGAACAATTGCCAGATATTTGATGATATCAATAATTGTTAATATTTTTAGGTGTGATAATGGTATTGTGATTACATTTGCTAAAATTGGCATCATTTACTTTATGTAAAAATTAATTTTTATACAGTTGTGAAACCATGTGCTACAGTTAAAAAAAAAGTGTTCTTCACCTTGAGAGATCCATGCTGAAATATACACAAATGAAATAATAAACTAGGGTGGCGATAGCTGATAATATTGTATTGTATATTTCAAGATAGCCAGAAAAGAGGATCTTGAATGTTCTAACCACAAAGAAATGATAAATGTTTAAGTAACAGATATGCTAACTATTCTGATTGGATCATTACACAGTATACACATGTAGTGAAACAACAAACTGTACCTGTAAACATGTACAATGAGAAAAAAATTGAGCTGGCTGGTTAGCTCAGTTGGTTAAAGCACGGTGTTATAACACCAAGGTCAAGGGTTTGGATCCCTCTACCGGCCAACCGCCAAAAAAAAAAAAAAAAATCCACAAAGGCAGGGGCAAAAAAAGCTTATATGAGGAAAATATAACGATACTAAAGGGGAAAAATAACACAGGAGTGGGAGTGGACACTTGATATGGTTGAAGCAAGAGAGACCACGAGGTGACAATTGCTGAAGCCAAATGATGGCTGCACAGGGGGTCATTACACAGTTCTCAATAACTTAGCTGTTTACATTTCTCATAATGAAAGCTTTAAAAAGTTTCACTCCATGGGGCCGGCCCGTGGCTCACTCGGGAGAGTGCGGTGCTGATAACACCAAGGCCCCGGGTTCGGATCCCATATAAGGATGGCCGGTTAGCTCACTGGCTGAGCGTGGTGCTGACAACACCAAGTCAAGGGTTAAGATCCCTTTACTGGTCATCTTTAAAAAAAAAAAGTTTCACTCCTGAGAGGTGTCTTTCCTGACTGCCCTTGCTAAAATAACGCCCCTCTCCAAGTCACTCCTATTTGAAATTCTGATTCTGTCTCTTTGACTAGAATGTGAGCTCTAGCAAAGAGGGAGGCCTCCTCTACTTGTTTGTTCCTGAGCCCCCAAACCTGAAACTGCCTGGCACATAGTAGCTGCTCAATAAACATTTTTTGGATTGAATGAGTGAATTCTCCCACTGTCTCATTCATTCCTCACCATGTATTAGTCACATTCTACATCCCTAGCATTGTGGGCAGGCACAATTACAGAACGAAAGGGCCCCCAGTCCAAACCTCCTTGCCCAGACAGGGAAACTGAGGGCCCAGAGAGGGGCAGATACTTACCTGGAGTCTCAGAGCTCGGCGAGTGAACAGGGCTGAAGGTGCTAAGCTGAGGGCCATCTCTGCCTTCCCCCTCCGTCCTGATTAAGGGGACTCTTGACTGGAGCTGCCTGGGCTATGACCTTCATGTCCTCCTGCAGTCTCTTTACGTGGTTGCTGAGATGGAGCGATCTCTGGTGGGGTGTGCCAAGGGCGAGCACTTCCACGTGGTCACGCCTCTGCTGGAGAGCTGGGCACTGTCCCAGGTGGCGGGCACAACTGTCTTCCTCAAATGTGAGAATGTGCAGCCAGCCGGCTCCTTCAAGATCCGGGGCATCGGGCATTTCTGCCAGGAGGTGAGGATGTGTGGGCATGAGGGGAGAAGTGAGGTTGTGCAGGAGGGAGGGGAGGGGTGAGGGGAGGGCTGTGGGCAGGACGAGGGGCGAGGAGTGTTGGGAGTGGGATAGGGAGAGTCTAACTCTATCCCGCATGGGTCTCCATGACACCCGTGTGGGTTAGCCCCCAACCCCATTCCTTCTCTTCCCAGATGGCCAAGAGGGGATGCAGACACCTGGTGTGCTCTTCAGGTGATCCCACCCTTTTCTGCTTTGTGGGGGTCCTCAGGGCTAGGGGTGGGGGAGGAGGAGTTGGCTGGAGCAGCAGTAGATGTCCAGATGTCTAGGGCTTGACTTCCTCTTAAAAGTCTAGCCTCAACAAGGTCACAGTCTGAGATGGTCACCTCATATGTCCTCTTCTAGCCCTCTTATAATTCAGGACTCATGATGGTAGCAAGTGACAGAAACCCAATTTACACAGGTTTAAGATACAGTCTCTAAGAACTAAAATTTCTTGGGATAAGTGGTTTTCAGGCACGGCTGGATCCAGGAGCTCTCCTCCCTATCTCTTCTGCTCTTGGCTTTTCTTTCCTCTTTATTAGCTTTATTTTCATATAGGCCTCATGGTAGCAAGATGGTCACTAGGAGTCCCAGGCTTGCATCCCACCATCCTACCAACCCTAGTGAAAAGGGAGTATATCTTCCTAATGACTCTTCTCAATCCTGGAATTGGTCTTTTGGGCCCAGCTTGGGTCGGGTATTCATCCCTGAACCAATCATGGGTCAGGGGATTGAGTTCTCTGATCGGCTCAATCTAGATCATGTGTCCACCTCTGGAGCTAGAGGGAGGAGTCAATGGTGGGGCTTACGGGTGTGGGGGAGGAGTGACTTCCAAAGGGAAACGGAGGGGAAGGGGAAAGGTATGTCCACAGGCAGGTACAACTCTGCGCACTGTGTCCCTTCTGCTGCCTCTGCAGGGGGCAATGCAGGTGTCGCTGCTGCTTACGCTGCTCGGAAGCTGGGCATCCCCGCCACCGTCGTGCTCCCTGAGGGCACCTCCCTGCAGGTGGTGAAGAGGCTGCAGGGAGAGGGGGCCGAGGTTCAGCTGAGTGGAAAGGTAAGGACCCCAGAAGGGAGAGATGAGCTGGAGTGGGCTGTTCCCCCCTCACCCCACCCCATCCCAAGAGATTCTGTCTCCTTTTCCTTTTGATGCACTGCGGCTGGGACCCAGTCTTCTCTCCGGATGGCTGAGCAGAGGGGTGGGAATGTGAGGTATATTGAGGGCTACTGGCCTCTGCCCACCCTGAGAAGACCCCCAGCCCCGCATGCATGAACCAAGGGAAGCAGGAAGCTGACGATTAGCTGGAGAGTGCCTGGTATCTACACTGTCACTAGCACTTGGTACTATCCACTTTTTACGTATGTACCACGTGACAAGACAAAGGGTAAAGACGATGGCAGCGTCATTTCTCATTCTGAGGCCACCCCAACGTGAAAGACGCCCACTGATAAAGACATCACCAGTTCACTTTGTTGCCAAAGAAATAGAGGAACAGACATAAGAATGTTTCTTCTCTACTGGGAAGAAGGGGGAAAATCATTCAAATAATGGAAAACAGGTTTTAGGCAGAGATTTTTTTTTTTTTGGCAGCTAGGCCATTGTGGGGATCTGAACCCGTGACCTTGGTGTTATAAGGCTATACTCTAAGCAACTGAGCTAACCAACCAGCCTGGAAAACAGATTTTAAAAACCTCTCAAAATAAAAACTAAAAGCCATGCCATGGTAAACAAAAGCTGGTTTCCAAATACTTAGTGTATACAGTTTCTCTCCTTTTTTCCTTCCTTCCTTCCTCCATCCCTCCCTTCCTTTTTTCTTCCTTCCTTCTGTTTATTCATCTATCC